CTATAGTGACAAGAAAAGGCCACGGGGCTTGTAGGGACAGGCCCCTCCAGCCAGGTGACTGCCACGTGGCAGCTGTTTAGTTATATACATATACATATATAGAGAGATCAATTTATTTATTTTTTTTACCAAGAGATTAAGAATTTCAGAAAGCACTAAGGAGGAACAAGCGAAGAGGGGCTGAAGGAGCTGCTACACCAAACAGGCAGGGTGGGGGTGAAGGGAAAGGAAGGAAAGCAGGGTGAGCAGCAAGGGAAGAGCTTGCCTTGCCTGTTTTTTGGGAACTTCCTTATTGTCCATGCTTCTGTTTCAAATGTTAAAAATTGTGGGCCAGATCTTCATGGCAAGTGTAAATTGGCAAAACATGATTGTGTGCTATTGGTGTAAAGCAGCAGAGCTCTGGCTCGAGGTGGATTCACGCTGATTTACAGCAGGTGAAAATCTGGCCCCAGCAGCAGGGAAAAGCAAACAGCCATGGAGCACGGGAAACATTTTGAGGTGAAAAGCCTCACTTTGAAAGGAATGTGTGAACACAGCAGGCATGATCATGGGAGGAGGGGATGGAGGCTACATGGCGTATTTTTGTTGTTGTTTTGTTGGGTTTGTCTTTTTCGTTTTCCAAAGAAAGAAAACTGCTAAGGGAAAAAATTACAAGACTCATGGAGAAATTTGAAGTGGGAGAGGCAGGATGGAAGGAAGGTGGGAGGTAAAAAGGGGAGAGCAAATTGAACTTTTCCTCCTTTCATTTACAGTAATTGTGATTTCCTTTTTTAGAAGCCCAAAGGTGCAAAAATCAACCCTAGAAAAACTTATCTGTTATTTTTGTATCTATAGCTATATATATTAAAAGCAAACAAAAACTAGAATATTAAAAAATACATAAAAGCAAAGGGGGCTTCAACAACACAAAACTCAGTCAGTTCCCTGGCCGAGGGCTAACCCTGTTCCAAGTTCTAGTGGGAAGACCCAACAAGGACAGTCTCAACTCAGTGGTGACTCTGCCTCCTCTCCAGCATCATCCTTTGCATCAGTGTAGCTGGGACCAGAGTCCTATTCACTGCCAACTGTGGACATGGAGAGCAGGGAATACTGATGGGTGTGGGTGTGTGTGTGCATACAATTGTAAGGGTGTTTATGTACGTTCTGTCCAGGCTGACTGGCTCACCAGCTGGAGAGACGGGTGAGAGGGACAAGGAGAACTGCATCTCTCCTTGTCTCTGCCTTGCATGGCAGTGTGAGTGGAGAGAGCTACACTGTGGAGGGCGAGGGCAGATCAACTCCTCTAACCATGATCTGCCTCAGGATCCAGGATGCAATCCAGTGAACATAATCCTTTCCCAATGTGGTTGGAGCAAGGCCTCTAGAGGCTGCATCCCTCCTTGCTTTTCCAGAGGTATAACTGCACAAATCTCCTTCCTGGCAGGGCCAACCTGGATCTCCTCCTGCAGCAATGTCAAGGTTTTGTACCCTTTCCAGATTTGCAGGTGGGTAGGAAAACCAGCCACTTGAGGGGGACAAGGAAGTTCAGACATCATCTGCCACCCCAGCAAAGTTCCACTAAGGTGTGTCAGAGAAGGTGGAGTGGGAAGGGCAGCGGGGAGAAGCCAACCACCCAATGGAGATGTGAAGGTTTGGAGGCTGGTGCACTGAGAAGGAGCAGGGCTCCCTCAGGGCTTCCTGTCCCATTTTTTCCATCAGAACAAGAGGGCCCCTGCAGCCCTCACAGAGGTCTCCCAGCTGGCATACGAAGCATTGTGAAGTGGGCAGCACAAAACAGATGTTCTGGTATTATTGTGACCCATCTGACTTTAAAGCAGCTGCTGCATCTTACAAACCGGGGCTGTAAACAGTGAGCACAACAAATGGGACCAACAGCCAGGAAAAGGATAATTACTGTGTGAACTTAATTTATTTGCTGGAAGGAGTGTTTGCTATGTTGCAAGTGTGCATGCTGACTGCAGGGAGGTCAGACCTGTAAGGAGAGAAGAGGAGAGCCTGGGTCCTTGTCCTTGCAGAAAGGATGCAAATCTGGTTTTATTAAAGCAATAATAAGGATCTTTAAATGCTTTTTTTGCACTGATGGTTCTTTGGGTGAGTTGCCCATGCTTGCTGTCCTGAGGAGGGACAAGACACATGGTTTCACATCCTCAGGGAAGGAGGGAAGTCGCTCCCCAAATGGCTGAACAATGAACTTGGGTTGCACAAGGCTTAGACCCAAACCCAGAGCTGCTTTGAAGCCAGAGGTCGGGCTTACAAAAAAACCCCAAACAGTTGAAACCTATCTAAACCCAGGACAATTCAAGGCAGAGTGTTTCCTGGAAGATGGCCATAAGGAGAATGGAGATGGGACTCCAAGTTGTCCTGGTAGTTGTGTGGGCCGTGAAATGTTTCAGTGGAGAATGGGAGAAAGGTGAGATCAGTGCAGTGCTAGACAATACCCCAATATTTGATCATGAGAGAAACATGGCCTGCACTTGGGATGGCTGGGAGGGAAGAACTATCAAAAGATGTTGGGGAAGATTGTGGTGATGACCTCATGGGGGGACTACAGCCCCTACGATGGATGCTCTTTCAGCTTATTCTTGGTTATCCATGGAAGTGACTTGCAAGGAAAAACATCTTTGTTTCTCCTATGATTTGGGGTTCATGGGAGTCGTTTTGCTCTGAGAGTTGTCTCCCCTTTGCCTCCCATCAGGGTCATGCCAGCTCTCCCATCTCCCTGCAAAAGGGCATTCACTCTCTGCCATATAACTTGAGCAAAAGGCTTCTGGCTTAGGAAGGAGGTTGCCATGGAAACAGAAGACTAGGTTATCTTTGGAGAATATTTTGTCTCTCTCTTTTAATTATTTACTAACAGTTTGAAGAAACATCTATCCTTTCTGAAAAGGAAGCAGAATACTAAACCCCAGCAAACACTTTGGTTTTTTGCTGGGGATTTCTGTAGCGGGGCAGGTTGTACAATTTCTCTTGTCAAGAGCTGCCTTTCCCAGCTATGCTTGGCTCTTGGCACACAAAAACCTCTGTCATCACCCACCCACCTCCCAGACAACACCTGAGGGTAGCCCAGGATTTGCCCAGGCATCTTTTCAGCCTCCTGTACTCCCACTTCCTACTGGAGACTATCGCAGGCAGTTCCTGCCAGGACGCTCTTTGCTGTCATCAGCCCGATATCACTCTGTTTTGTCCAGCTGCCACACTACCCTTGTGCCCAGCTCTCCCCCACGTCTGCCACTGAAAGCAGTACCTCTCCCTGCTCGATACTGAGCTCCTCCTTGAGCTCACACATTGCTGCCATGTCCTGCTCTCGCTGCTGCTGCTCTTTTCATCTTGGCTCAACAGGTGGTTTTCTGGGTCTTTTTTTCTGAACTCTCCCTGTAAATTTTCCTCCTCTACCATGACCTCTGGGCCTGTTAGTGTTTTTTATTGCAGCTGCAGAGCAGAGCCCATCCCTAGTGCTTCCCACCTTCTCTTGCACATGGAATCCACAACTGCTCCAACCTGCCCATGGAAAACACACCAGTATTCAGTATTTCTTCTGCACCCAGAGACTCTGACTCAGCACAGTCAAATGAGTGAAGTATACCACTAGATGTGCTTCTCACGGCTTCTCAATCTTCATCTGTCCTCCTTACTACTACCAAAAGTTCCTTATGAAATTAGGTATATAGGAATCAATTGCCAGTGTGACCACTGTTTTCTTTCGTGGAAAGTTGACAGTGTGGTGCATTTGGGTTTCTGGGGGTTTTTTGTGGGGTTGGGGTTTTTTGTTTCATTTTGGGGATTTTTGTGAGGCCAGGTCCTGTAAAGGACTGAATACCACCAATCCTCTGTGAAATTAATGAGTTGAGCAGGACTGGGGGAGGGGGAAGGCAGAAGTTGAGAACATTACTGACCAGGAAAATAATTTTTCAGACAGAAGAAACATAAAGCAGAAATCCTCGAAGTGTTCAAGGAATAGAATTTTTTATTTTTCCTTTTAGCTGAAAATGAAAGGATTCCCACCAAAATGGTTCTCATGTTCAAAATGCTTCCACAGGGCATCACAGAGGTATTGTGTTCTGTTTGGGCCGTGGTGACTGAATCCTTGAGACACCAGGCCAGTCATCCACCCACAGGGCACTGAAGATTGGTCCCCAGGCAGTGAGGTGTCTGCAGGAGATGTGCCCTGCACACACACCGTGCAATGAGGGCAAAAGTCTTTGTAACACCAGCTCAGGAGCAGACTTAATTTTAGCCAATATAATTAAAAACATAACATTTCTTATGGAAGATAAGGAGGTAAGCAGCTTTGGTTCACTTGTTTTTATCACAAGAATTTCACAGAGAAGGAAAAAACTAAACCCCACTGATTTTTTAACTAGCCAA